CAGGACCGTGAAATCAGCTCTCGAATTATGCTCGGGTTAAAAAAAAAAAAACTTGCAACGACCCCGCCTCGATCATTGGCGATTCTTCCAGATAATACTAGGAAGCAGTCGGGCTCTGTTGTGAACCTAGACCTGGGCACCTGGGCTCAGAGAGCAGCGGCAGCGGCATGTCTTGCCGTGGCGGACCAGTATACAACATCACTAGCTGCACCGCCTAGGTAGCAGGGCGAGGAGCACAGCAGGCAGACAAAGGTGATATCATGCTTCGTGGGCTGGGAACACCAACAATCTCCGCGGCGACAAGCACGCAGGTACCTGCGGGTGTTACTGCCTGCTACTTGTATCTCCAGCCCGGCTCTAACTTCAAAGAGACATGATCACCTGGATCGAGGAAGTTTGCGTCTCGGGGTTACTGCCTCAAAGATCACTCCGTACTGCAAGAATACTTTTCTCTTTTCTGGTAGCTCAAGTCGATCCACGAGCGAAGATTCTGGGTCTCGGTTTCAAAGTCAACACACTCTCTGCAGAGCTGACCGAGCCTTACTAGGCGTTGTGCATGTCGACCCGAGGGCGGAGAACGTTTGGCCAAGTTTGCATGGAAGAGTGTGTGGCGCGCGTACCGGGACAGGTCTCCCACCCGTGCAACCTTGAAACAATGTCGATGGTGTGCCAACTCTGGCTCGAGCTGCCGTGTTATTGGCATCTGGTCTGGTAGGTAGCTCCAAGGCCCGCCAGAACCTTGCAGCGGTGGTAAAGCATTTGATTGTTCTGCGCGGCACGGCCTTACTTTGAACCAAGCTGGGTTGACAACATGCCGCTACTTTAGAGACATGGCAGGAGGAATCAGCAAAAAAAAAAAAAAAAAGGGTGGCCACCGGGCTTCGCATCTGCATCTTCATCTCCCGACTGGTCACAACACACACAGCACAGGACTGGTTTGGTCTCACCTCCATCGCAAAGAGTGGATTTGGTCGGAATGTGCGTCTGTGACAATGCAATACGCAAGGCGGCTCGGAAGTTCGACGATCTAGCCAGGACCGGACGAATCTCCTACGAACTGAGTTTGGATCAGGTGGATGTTTACGTGCCTCGCGGAGAGGGTGACGGAGGTTGCCTTTGGCCAAGCTTGTCCAAGCAGAATGGGCCTAATGTTGGTAGGTACCTCGTGTAAGATTACTTACCTAGGTTCTCAAACTCGTCCTGTATGGACGCCAACCAGGACTTGTACGACCGCGGTGGTTTCGATCCGGCGCGGGCTTGTGACCAGGAATGTGGCCCTGACAAGTCAGATTATCCTGAAGCCGTGGAACCGGCCGTCGGCCGGTGGGACAGAGGGTGTGCTCCGGGTGGGCTAAAGGAGTACATGACCAAATCGATCCAGGTACCTTCAACCTTGCAGGCGGGGGGGGGGGCACTGTTCGGATGCATGGCGGTGTCCGCGCTCGGTTGACTATATCTGACTTGGGCAGGGGGTGCATTCGCGTGCGTCAATATGACCTACCTTACATTGCTTCGTCTCGACGGAGCGCGGGTGTCTCACTGCACAAGGCGGCGTAGGTACGACACAGCCCGAGGGCACCACCACCACTACCAGTCCGTTATTACAAGTACATGTCGGTAAGTGTGTGTGTGCGCATTGCTGAACCTCTCCAGGGGAAGAATTAATCAGGCACTGGGGCGGGTCGCCGTCTTACCTTATTACCTACCTTGCTTCATACTTGTACATCGCACGGTCATCCCTGATACAAAACGGAACAGGCCTGCCGTCTGTCGTCGCTGCAAAACCCTGGCTGGGCAGCCAATTGGGCCATTTATTTCTTGCTCAGAAAGCGAGCAGGGTAGGGCGCACAGCTGTCTTGCGAGCAATGCATTTCGTCACGGGCGGCTGGGGGTAAGGACGTACTTGTCCATAGGTGCAGGGTGGGAAAGGAGCAGCAGGGAGCAGGGATTCATTGGCCCTCCCGGCCGGGTCTGGTACAGAAACAGATGAAACCCGCAGCTCCGATCACTGGCGTTGCAGTCGGCGTCGACTCCTTCTTTGGACACTGGATTGGACCACCCGCAAGAAAGACAAGAGACGCCCTGTCCGTGTCCTGGCACGGTCTGGGTCATTTGTACACTTAAAACGCCAAAATGGAGGCCGGGGGGGTTGGGCTGGAAGCCCCGGTATGAAGACCGCCCTTCTCAAGATTTCGCATATTCGGTCGAAGCGTGACGATCCACACACAGCAAGCACCAAGTGATGGGCGCTGAAAACACATCTCACACGCTCACACATACTTATACACATACGCCCTGTTGGCCCTGCGGCCCCTGTCCCCACGCAACCCACGCCTCTCAAGGATCAAGCCGTGCCCCATCACCACTGGTTGCGCTCGCGCGCAGGGACCGTGGAAAGCCGCTCAGTCTCCATACGTACTCCGTACAAGGATGTGGATGATGGCTTGCTTGGATGGAGTTTGGTGGATGTGCAGAACGGCGCCGGGCGTGTTTCCTATTGACCCGCCCAGCCAGGCGTCTCATCAGCCAAAGGGACGAAAAGACGAGGGGGGGGGGGGAGGGTCGAGACCTGGCCGACCCTAACTCCTTCCTGCCTCTTTAGTGAGCACCAGAGTTGGATGGTTGACGATCTTTGCCTCCAGTCGATGGCCACTTTTCGTGGGCATCAGGCTAGTTTGGCGCTCGCTCCGCTCCCCAAGCCTGCTGGGATTAATTGGAGGTTGCGTGCATACGCAGGCGCCCTGCAGAAACACCGAGCTTCAAACGAGCCTGGGATTTTCGTCCGTCGTGCCCCCTTTCGCAGACCAAGCTCGACGACGGGAGAAAGTCGCACGGGCAGCGGGGCACACGCACACCGTCACTCTGTACACACGCACTGTTCCTCCCTCTCTCTCTCGGCCCTGATGACTCCTTCGACAGGATTGACGGCGCCAGGCTCCTCCGGCAGCAGGCCAACGCCGTGATTGTCCAACTTCCGGTTTATCTCGTCCAGCGTGCGACACCCCACCCTCGAGGACGGACCGGGTAATGGATTCGCTACACGCCCTCCTCCTGCAGCCCACGCGTGCACACACACACACACACGCCAGAGTAAAGTACCCTTATTGACAGGGTGTGATATTGATCACCATATTCATCCAGATACGTCATCTACGGGCTGCCATCTACTTGCCTGGCGTGCAGGCGCACCACCACTGTCAGTCATCGACGGCACCATCTCCGCCACTCAGCAGCTTTGCTTGCTACCCGCACGGGATCGTCCCTAGCTAGGTAGTTCCTTACACAGCTGCCCGATAAGCAAACACCTTCCATCGGTTACCCAGAAGCAATATGCACCGGCAAAGGCTCCCACTTGCGGCAAGCCAGGTAGGTAGGCAGGCAGGGAGGCATGCCGGCCCTTCTGAGGTGACACCTGCCGCCAGTGCTTTTTTAAAGTGAGGGGGCTGTCAGGGCTGCCCATGCCAATCCTCGTGCATACGTTAGCGGGTTCACACGTAACCTGAAATCCCAACACTTCTACAGACACACGTTTCTCGGCCTGCAGCAGCAGCAACGCCATCAACGATCTACGCATCAGCGCGCTTTACGGCGTTATGCATGGGCACTCACACGCATGGTCACCCTCTTCTTCCTCCTCGGGGGCGAATCCAATCACGACGCATCGTCAGCTGTGCGTCTGGGCTCTACCCTGGCCAATCTGACTCGGCTCCTCTAAGTACCTGGCTTCCTGGACTCGCATGTGGCACCTAGGACACCGGAAGGGCTAAATCAACATACCCGCACCTTGAAGCGGCACTCCCCTGATTTACTTGGGTCTCCGTGCCTTCAAGAAAGGCAGGCATACTTGCCAACGGAATCACGGCCAAGCGTGTGATCTGGTGCCTCAGTCTTAGAGCACACTCCACACCCCATGGGAGGAGCCAGAGAGTCCACAATCCCACAGTCTAGGCTGGTTCTTCACCGCCTCTTAGTTACAGCACACAAGTACTCCATACGGCCTGGCGTTTCGCCTGGATCACCTGGATGCCTGCCCAACCACCACCACCACCACCACCACTTTGCTTTTTCCGGCTCAAATCGCCACCCCCTACGCCTAGCAAACGTTTGCACTATTGCGGATTTCGGCTCATTCATCTCACTATTGGAGCGTATCCGTACTGGTGCGAGATAATCAGTGGCTCCACCTGGCAAAGGGGACAAGATGAGATGCTCACGGCTGTTACATTCTCATCACGATGATCGTACGAGTCACAAGCACTGATCCTCTTTGGCTGATCGAGACCCCCCGCCCTTGGGCCGGCGGCGCGTTGATCTCCACGTCGGCATCAAATTTACTGTAGGAGAACCCAGCAGCCTGTGTCAACTTTTGTAACCGCCCTGCCGCTTTGTTGGCGCTGCTGCCTCGACGCCCAAAGCCTCCCAGTCGACACCAGGACTGCATTATTACCCCAAGCCAGCAAATCCATTTATTTGGATCTTTCGGCTGGCCAGGTCCACAGCCTCCTTGAGCGTTCTTTTCGCCTCCGGCTCTCCGCTCTTTCCGCCGCAGGCTAGATCCAATAGCACTCTTGCTATGAACGTGTCTCCTGCTCCAATGGAACTAGGCCAGAGCCGCCCAGATGTCAGTATCTATCTCGTGTCGCAGCGTATCGTTGGGCTGGGTCAGATCAGCTGGCATACTCAACTACTCGCGAGTCCGGCACCTGTACAACCGGGGCGGTGAAGGGCTCAAGGGATGACTTCTCCCACCCGGCAGCGCTCTCTGCACCCCATGTGCAAAAGCAATGAGACCTGGAGGTTGTCAGTTGACCCTGTCAATGTTCTCGCTCGACGGCCGGCCGAAACCTTGGACTGTTGCCGGCCCACTTACATCTTGGGATTGCTTTCCCTGGCAAGACAGGATGCTGGGTCGACGTATCCCTCGGCCTTACATGGGCGCCAACCCCGTCAGCATGATGCCCTTCCGTTCTTGACGAGCGCGAAGCGACATGCTTGGGAAGCTACTGACCTCTGCCCAGCTCCTGGAGTAAAACACAACATCGGCCTCGTCTGCTAGTTCTCGCAGGCCTTCCCTCTTTGGTTTCTCCACCTCTACACTGACCCTGGCCGAGGGCAATGATTGTCGAAGATGGCGGATGCATGCCAGTGTCGTCTCTGGAATCCGACCCTACTCTTGGAAAAGCAAAGGTGAGAAACGAGGGATGTCTCACCGGCGGACGACTGGCAATTTGCAAAAGGGGGAAACTTCGCACCTCAAAATGCCACCACGTCTCTTGCTCCCCCGCGAATGCATCGACGACCGCTGCGAACTCGCCCACTGTCATTTCCGGCAGGCCGTTGTAATTCACAATCGTCCGCGAGCCCGTCTTCTGGCTGCGTATGATGTAGCTGCTGGCGGCCTCGGTGCAACCGTCGCGGTACATGCAGTGGTCGAGACGGACAACGGCACCGTCGCCGAACGAGGAGATGATCTTTAGAGCTCCAGGCGACTCGGCGGCGGGGAGGGACGAGACGAGCCAGGGCTGGAGATCCCTCGCCTCCGATGTTGTAGACGAGTTCCGCAGGAGCTCCTGCAGGACCTCGGCCGTGTTGGGGCAGTTGCCTCCGCGGCGGACCTCGAGGGTCGTGGCCCGTAGCTTTGAGTCCTCCTCTGGGTAGTGCGGCACGCTATAAAAGGTTTGGGAAATTTTGCAATAGTTTTTAGTAAAAGCTTTCTGGTGAGCTTGTCTCTTGTCGAGACTGACTGGGCGATGATATCCTCTCACCTGAGGATCGTGTCGAGGTAGCACGCCCCGACTAGGATGAGGTGCTTCATCGCCACGCAACGATGACTACATGAGGTGAGGCACTAAGCCCGCTCGACATGACAACAATCGCTGGTAGAGAGGCCGATGTACGTCTTGATCTGTGTGGACAGTGCCTGCGCAGCTGTGACGCTGTCCTTGTCGTGAAATCGAAGCCAAGATAAGATGCTCAGGTCATGTTGGGAGACTGCCGGCAAATCGGTGGAGCGCTAATCGGGTAGCTTCAGTAACCCGTCCGTGATTGGCCGACGATTGTCCTTCAAAGCTTGACAGCTTCCCCAACTCTGATGACCTCCTTGTACGGCATCACATTTCGATGTTCATTCCAGTGGGTTGTGTCTTGAAGCGATCATTGCTTCCAGAGCAGAATCAAAGTGTCTTGATTTCGTGGAGTCCTGCGAATGTACTGTAGCTTGATTCTGAAAAGCCATGATATACTAGTTAGCTTCCGACAACTCTTCGTGTCTCTGTACGGTACGATGAAGAATATCTTCTGTCGGCCTTTCAGCACGGATTGCTTGTTCCCTGAAGGACGGACAAGACATCTGGCTCCGGCGACATGGAGATGAGCAGCCTGCATCTCCCCCGTATACCCAGTCGCTTGCTTCGTGTACATTGTTGACGGGTTGGCAAACACAAGCGAGCGAGACTGTTTATGTTTTGCCCAATATCAAGAAAAATCCCTTCTCGAGAACCCGAGGGACGGTAGTCCGATCCATGTAATGCATTGCGTCGCGTCTCCAAAAAAATATGCTCAGTTGGTATCTCTCTAGTACTACTACCTAGCCGGTCCCGCGTCCCGGTCACCTCTTCTTGGACCTCTGCGCCACCCGCTTGAGAGCGCGCATATCCTTGCGCATGCGCGGGTCGACCATGCGGTACCGGCCCTTGACGCCCTTGGGCCGCGACTTGATGCCGCGGTTGGCCCCCCTGGCGACGACGACCTTGGTCGCCTGGCGGGGCTTCTTGCGCGCCGCCTTGGCGAGCAGCCGCTGGATGCTGTCGGCCTTCTCCTTCTCCGTCATGCCCTCCTCGCTGGCCAGCACCTCCGACTTCTTCTTGAGCTTCTCGAGGCGCTGCGCCGCCTTGAACTTCTTGCGCGCCTTGGCCTCGCGCACCTTCTTGATGGGCCGGGCGTTGACGGCGCGCGTCTTCTCCCGGATCGCGGCCGCGGCCTCCTTGGTCCGCGGCCGCTGCACCTTGTCGTGCCTGCCCTCGTCCTCGACGAACCAGTCCGGCAGGCCGTCGCGGTCGCGCAGGGCGTGCTTGTTGAAGCCCTCGTCGATCAGGTCGTGTTTGGTCTTTTGGCCGGTGGCGAGAGCGTGGGCCAGAGTCATGGCCTCGGCAGTGATAATGTCGATGTCTGGGGTCCTAGTTAGTCATACGACCTTTTTTTTTTTGAAGAAAACATGAAAAAGGCGGAGGTCTCCTTACCGACTGGCTCGTTCGCGCGGCGCTGTTTGTCTTTCTCCTCCCAATCCTCCTCGTCTTCGCTACCCTTGACACGTCTCGGCACACTCTCGTCCTCGTCCTCTCCCTCGCTGTCTTCTGAATCAGAAGTAGCTATGGACTGTGTCTTGGCCTTGGCCTTCTGCTTGGTGACCTGGTTTGAGGGTGCCTCGGGCTCTTCTTCATCAGAAAAAAGTTCATCGTCCTCAATCTCTTCATCGTCGTCCCCGACATCTTCGTAATCCTCGTCATTCTCCTCTTCTTCTTCTTCATCCTCGTCTCCTATTCCAGGAATGTCCTTGAAAATGTCATCATTGAAAAAGACTCGAGCTCGCTTGGACAAGCCACTGTTGTCATCTGCAGGCTCGTTGTCCAGGTCCGTCAACAATGACTTTTTTGAGGCTACTGGCCCCTCGTCCTCGCTCATGTCTGAATCGCTGTCCTCCTCCAGACCACCATCGCTGTCGCTTTCGTCTTTGTCACTGCCCGAGAAGCCTTCCCATCCGCCGTCCTCATGTTCAGCTCTCGCCCGCTTGGCTCGATACTTGGCATCCCTCTCTGCTTTCTGCTCCTTGTAGTGGTCGTACATGTCGTCCAGCTCTCGCTCGAGCCGGTCTCCATCCTCGTCGCTGTCATCATCCGTCTCTCCAGACGATCCAAGACCGCTATCGTGGTCCCTCTTAGCGGCAGTCTCGTTGATGACAGCCATTTTGCCTTTTGCCAGTCTGGACATGGCGCCGGCTTTGTCCACGGTCTTCAGTGCAAACATAGCACCCTCGCCCTGTGGCCCTGCTTGCTCCATGCCAATATCCATGGGTGTGGTCATGTTGAGCTGCATGCGCACGATTTCTTTTTGCTTCTTCTCATTCTCGCGCCGCCGCTCTCTTTTCTTCTTGGAGCTTTCCTTGTCTTTGAGGTTCTGCAGCTCCTGCTGAATCTTCATCTCCTCGTCCATAGAGTCGACTTGGGCGACTTCTTCACTCAGGTCGGGTTGCGCGGTCTTCTTGGTAGCGAAACCGAAGATCTCGCGGACACGAAGTCGCCATCGCAAGAGAAGCTTGAATTCTTTCCTCCCGAGCACTCGAAGATCCTGACAGCATGTCCTGATATCGTCTGTGGTCTCGGGCAGCTTTTCTAGTGCTGCAAGCGCAACGTCCCCATTCTTTGGCTGAGTGAAGGTCAGGCGGTTGATGCTGCCCAGGATAGCAATGGGGTCGGTCGTCTGGATGAATTCGCTTGCAGGGATCTCCTTGAACTGTGTATAATCACCCTCCTCATAACCGTCACGCTTCCGCTTCTTGACTTCCGGGTTGTAGACCTTGGCCTCGTTGTTGGGGGTCGGGGCGGCCAACTCTTCGAAGACGGCCTTCGGATCGAGGAACTTGGGGTCGATGCGCTTGGGGGCCTTGAAGCCCTTGCAGACAACGAAGATTTCTGCAGAGACGTTTCGAGAACTGGGCGGCTTTGTGGCCTCGACCTTGGTGAAGAGCTGGTTGAAGACCCAGAGAAGGGAGTTGTAGTCCTTGGAGCGGAACACCTTGGTGACGAAGGTGCCGCCCTCGATCAGGAAGTCGGTTGCCAACTTCATGGCCTGAAGGGTCAGCTCGGCCTGGTTGAACGAATCCTGGACCCACGCAGTTCCGACGTTGGGGGCACCATCGTGGAGAACAGTGTCGGCCTTCCAGGTCTTGAGGTGGCCCCGAATCGTGGCTCTGCACTTCTCGGTGGTGATATCGCTCTGGAAGGTAATGACCTTGGGGATGGGCTTGATCGGGGCGAGATCGACACCGATAATGATGCTATTCACCGGCATGACTTCGGCAGCAACCTGACACCAGGACCCGGGAGCGGCGCAGAGATCCAGAAGGACCTTGCTCTTCTCCAGGAAGCCATACTTCTTGTTGAGCTGGATCAACTTGAAGGCAGCACGGGCGCGGTATCCCTTTTCCTTGGCAAGCTTGTACCACTTGTCGAGACGGCCTTTGCCGTGCTTCTTCTGGATCGCCATCTCAGCGTGCGCCTAGCCGAGCAAGGTGGTGTGGACGGCAATGGCGATGGCGACAGCTTTTGTCGAGACAGATTGAGATTTGTCCCAAGATGCCGCCTTTGCACCGCAGATTGTCTGAAATTTTTCCTACCATGGGCAGCCCACACACGGCCGATAAGAGTTTTTTAGTGGGGGATTCTGCGTTGGTCGGCCATGCAGATTGATGCGATAAGAGAGGTGCGAAACGCCGCCAAAACTACAGGAACCTAACTTGGACGTGTAGTGGATTGGGGGAGGCCGGTCTGGTCTCGGGAGACTGGGCCACTGACCACCTTAGTGGGTTGGCTAGCGGGCTCCAGCGAGCTCGGACGATTGGGTGGCGGGCCTGACAGGTCCGTGGCGGGCTGGTGCACGCGCGTGCATGCACTTAAAACCCCAGTAGCTTCGTCGCGGATCTGAGCGCGTTCAACGTGCATCGCGTCACCCAGGATTCAATGACCACATATTGACATGACGCCCTGCTCTCCTCTCCTCTCTCTCCCCACCCAGCACTCAGCCAGCCAGCCAGCCAGCCAACAATTCTTCCTCTTCAAAGACCTCTCAGCTGCTCAATTGTCTTTTTCCTGTCACAATATCTTTCTTTCCAGCAGCTTGTCATGATTGTTGCCTCTTTGTGAGCATTGTAGGACCATTGTGGGAGGAATTGGGCTCCCTCTCATCGGTCTGCTCAGCATACAGGACAGTGCCGTACCGTATTGTACACTCCGGGCAGGAGATGTCCGACAATGGGGGCTCGCACGATGCGAGCAACACACAGGATCCTCGACTCCTCTCCCCCCCGAGAGCAACACGCACGAGCCTTGGCAAGGAGCGTCGTGATCCATCCATAACGCCCCGCAAGTTCCGGAAGTTCTTCACTCCAAGACAGTCCTCTCGAGTCTCTGCTCGTCCAAGTGCAGCTAGGCGGGCTCTGGGCGAGCTGACCGCCAGCGCCCTGAACCGCTCACAGACTCCTTCGAGCCCATTGAAGCCCTTGTCCAGACTCAATGGCAATGCTCGTGATTCGGAACTGGAATCGCCACCGCCCGAGGTCAAGAGGAGAAAGCTCCGCCACACCCCGGACTCGTCCCCGGTGAAGGCTTTCACTCATGGCCTGAACCAGACACCCGTCACTATAGCCAAGTTTAGTGCAGAGACTACCCTACTGAGCCCAATTGACTCTATCCAATCCACCCGTTTCAGCCAGGAGCTGTCGGACGATGAAGATGGAGATCAGGATGTGGATATGACCGACGAAGTTCGACCTGTGGAAAAGATCAAGACCTTGAAGCAAAGGGGCTTGGCTGGGAACCTGGTTCAACGGCAGTTGGGCGGGATGCCGTATGCTGGATGGCAGTTTATGTCATGTCCTGTAGCCGGTAAGACGGTGCTGTCTGTTACGCTTCCCCATGTCCATACTAATTCAAGATCTCAGATTGGCAGATGGAGACTGCAGACTTCTGCAGTACAAAAGATGATGTTCACATCTGTCGAAGTCACGAGGTTTCGTCTACATGCATACCATTCTGCGTGGCTACTTGTAATAGTAGGTGCTCATTCGATCCAGTGATCCGAATCTCGGTCGGTGCCTGTTGTCGCTAACATTTCTTCAGCCAACAGCATGATAGCAATCGGCGATGAGGAAGGTCATGTTCGGCTTCTAGACTCGGTCTCCTCACAAGGATATGGCTTGTCGAAAGAGTTCCGGGATCCCTATCTTGGCTTCCAAGCGCACGGCAATGCCATTATCGACCTTGATTTCTCTCCAGACGACAGCCTTTTGGCAACGGCTTGCGGAGATCAGACTGGCAAGGTCATTGATATGATGACCCAGACACCCTTGACCGTCCTGGGCCATCATACAGCCTCGCTGAAGCAAGTTCGATTCCAGCCCGGCAGAGGCCAGGGGAGTGTACTCGCGACCTCGAGCAGGGACGGCAGCATTCAGATATGGGACTTGCGCTGCAAGGGACCGCCCGTTGAGGATCCTCAGGATTTTGTGCGAACGGAGTCTTTGAGCTTTCAATTGCCGCGAAAAGTCACTCAGGGCTGCGTGATCAACAGTCTTTGGAATGCTCATACTCGCACCTGGCGCCAGACCAAGTCGCAGGTCCAGCCAACTCCTGTCGACCTTGTCAGTCAGTTCCAGTTGCCTGCACGCACCAGTGAACCATCCGTGACTGCTCTCCAGTTCTTGCCTCCTGGTCGAGAACACCTAATACTGTCTGCTTGCGAGGCCGATGCATCCATCAAGCTGTGGGATATCCGCAATATCCACACTTCTCGCACTAAGATTGCCTCTCCGGTATCCTGTACCGTCCCACCAGACAGCCACACCCAGTGGCGCCCTTACGGCATCAGCTCAATGAGCCTCAGCACGGACGGCGCACGGCTCTACGCCACATGCAAGGACAATACTGTTTATGCCTACTCTACGGCTCACCTTGTGCTTGGACACGCCCCAGAGCTAGCCTCGCGCGGTGGCCCGCCTCGCCGGCGCCACGGCACTGCGCAGGAAGGACTGGGCCCCATCTACGGTTTCCGTCACGACAAGTTCCGCGCTTCGTCCTTCTATATCAAATCGTCCGTCCGCTCAGCCCGGAATGGCCAGTCCGAACTTCTTGCCGTTGGGAGTAGCGATGCCTGCGCCGTTCTCTTCCCAACCGATGAACGGTACTTGCAGCAACATCTCTCCATGAAGTCGGAGGAAGGGCTCCCCTCATTGGAGTCTACATTGTTCTCTACCAGTGCTCCCAGGCGTCCTGGTCTCCTCCGGACGAACAGTACTACCAGCCTTTCGGCTCGGTCCAGCGACACGATTCCAATCATTCGCAATTATGGTACAGCCCTTGTTAGGGGTCACGATAAGGAAGTTGGCGCGCTGAACTGGACACACGAAGGAAAACTCATCACCATAGGTGACGACTACCGTATCCGTCGGTGGTCCGAGGACAGGCAGCGAGCGGCCGATCTACGAACGGGCGGTGAAGGGCAGGGTCGGCGTTGGCTCAGTGGCTGGGCGGACGTGGATGAGCGCTGGGATCTCGAGGGTGATGACGAATGGTGAAACGACTCGGTTCACAACTATGATTGTTTTTTAATGCATTGCATTGTACATACTTGGCTGTATTGTATACAAGGTGCGCATGGACAGCACAACAGCGATTGTTTGGACCCGGCCTCAGAGGCTTCACGGAGTTGGTGGGAAGGATAGCACGTAAATTATACCACATATGCCTTTTGTTCTAAGTTTGATCCTCTCCGAGCACCGCGTACATATGTATCTTCACTCTTGATGCAAAGCGTCGTTCCCACTCGCCTTGGCCTTGGGCACGAGCAGCCAGGACACCGTGGTCGCCACCATGAGTCCCACCAGGATCGGCTGCATAACAGAAACACTCGAGGACCCAGCGATGACTCCGGTGATGATGGGGAAAAGAGAACCGCCGAGCTGGGCAATGACGAAGAGGAAGCCCATGGCGGTCGGCCGAAAGTTGGGCGAGAACAGCTTCTGGGCCACGGACATGCCGACGGGGAAGAAGGGGCCCGTGAAGAAGCCAAACAGGCTGATGGCGACCGAGGCGGCGATGATGTTGGGCACGAGCCAGAAGAGCAGCTGCAGCCCGATCGCCAGGACGCAGAACAGCAGCACGACGCGCCTCGTGCCCCAGCGGTGGATCGGCTCGACCAGCAGGAGCCTCCCGAGGAGGGAACCCCCGTTGAAACCGGCCGGGACGTATCCCATCTTGGAGAGGTCCCCGTGCCGCACGGTGACGAGGTACTCGACCACCCAGCCCGAGGCCGTGATGACGGCGCCCAGGTAGAAGAAGTAGAAGAGGCTCAGGATCCAGACGCTCCGGGAGCGGAACGTCAGGCCGATCAGCTTGGACGCCGACTCTCCTCCCGCCTCCGGCTCCTCCTGCTGGGCTGTGCCGCTCGTTCCGGACCCGGGCCTCCTCGGCAGGAGCCTCGTCTGCTCCCAGAACGCCACGAGCGCCAGCCCCAAGTTCACAACCGCCATCCCCAGGGGCACGGCGTAGAACAGCTCCCAGCGGGCCCTGGACGCGATGGCCGTGGCGACAAAGGGGCCCACGAGGCAGCCGCCGGCGTACATGCCGTGGATGAGGCCGAACCAGCGGTGCGAGGCGCGCAGGGTGCCGACAAAGGTGTTGCCCTGGGTGTCCTGGTAGGCCTGCCCGACGCTGGCGAAGAAGAAGCTCGCGGCGAAGAGCGGGAAGGGCGGCTTCCAGACGCGCAGGGCCTGGCTGGCGACCTGCGCCGAGGCGCCGAGGGCGAAGACGACGCCCACGTCGGCGCGCTGGCGCAGGTGCGTCTGGGTCAGGGCGGCGACGAGCCAGCCGGCGAAGCTGGCGCCGTAGCTGCGGTTTGGGGGGGGGGAGCGGTCAGTTCTTTATTCGCCTCTCGAGAGAAAGGAATTGTCGCTCATTCTGATACGTACACGCTCGAGACGATGTTTGTGGTGATGTTGTAGTCTTTGATGTTGTACGGGATGAGCGCGCCGATGCTGCCGTCGTTGACGCCGGCGACGAAGAAGGCGAAGCACACGCTGGCTAGGCGGAGCGCCGCAGTCTTGTCCAGGCTTTGCTCGGGCGGCTCCTCCTCGAGGAGGACCATAGGGTCCGCTGGGCGGCTGAGGACTGGTCCGGCCGGGTCTGGCGCAGGCACCGGCACGGGGGCTTCAAAGGCCTCCTTGGTCCGGGTTTCGACCACCGCGGTGGTAGACATGGTTCGAGGCTTAGGAGCAATGCTCTACAGCTCTCTCGCGGGCTTACTCACGAACGAGAAAATATCGGCCAAGGTCGACATCAAGCTCGCGTGCCGAAGGTCCAGCGCAGACACACACGAGTACCATGTCGTCACGGCCAAAGCTCAATGTAACCAACAGGCTAAGGTCCAATATGCGGTCTACCGGGCTGCGGGCCGTCAACATTAATTATGGGCCTTTCGGAATTACCAAGATGGGACAATTTCTCCGTAATCCAAGGCGAGCTGGCCCGCTCGTGGCTCCGCCCGATGTCCGCTGTAGCTCCGCCCCGGTCGGAGTAACCAGTTGTAGTAGCTTTTAACTATTCCCCCTTGTAACTTCCTACGTCAAGACAGATGATAAATTGCTTGGGTAAACGATAGTATATCTCCGAGGACGGCAAAGCGGTAAACGGTTACCAAGCTTGTCCTGTCCTGGCTCAAATATGCTATGGACAGCTCCTTCTATAGTGCTCTTCCACGGGGAATATCAAACCCGGACATTCGGAGAATTACCAAGCACCTTGACGAACATTCTTTTGCCCATAATCACTTGGCCAAGTCTTCTTCACTAAACTCGGACCTCGGCGGCTGCCGTTTGGGGCCATCTCCGGGCTCTTGATGCATCATTCCAGCAAGCCAAGGCAAGCGAGACAGTATTTCATCAAGGGCTTCGCTGGAACAACAGCGAAACTTGACACTTCAGATTTGACTCCGACAATACAGACAACGAGGACGCCGCAATTAGATTTTGTTTCTCAATTTCTTCATCAATTGGTATCACACACTCCGCATATTTACATCTGAATGTTAAAAACGTTGCCACGCTCTCGTCCGCATGGACTGTGTCTATGCACATCCACGACCAAGCCCGCACAACACCCAACAGCCTCAACGCCACACCAATGCTCTCATCAACTCACTCTCATCATCACCACACAACTCCTCGCTCCTCTACAAATGCATTACGTGTTTTCTTTTTTTAACTTCCAAATCAAAAGTTTAGTGCTTCTTGCAGCCAGGGGAAGTGCCGTTGCCGGTTCCGTGGGACGGCTGGCCCAGACCAAAGCACTCGGCCATCTTGTAGAAGATGTCGATGTTGTTGTAGGTGCCCTGGAAGAGGTCCGAACAGGGACCGCGGGCGTACACGGGGACGTCGGTCAGCGAGTGGACGCCCTGGGCCTCCTCGGTCGGGAGGGTGCCGTTGACGATGAAGCCGTCCGTGTTGTCCGCGGGGTTGACAAAGTAGTTGTCCTTGCCGAAGCCGGGAAGGCCGTCAACAGCCGGCACACGGGGGCTCTTGTTGACGCGGTAGTTCTCGCGGTGGTCAGGGTTGGCGCCGAAGCCGGGGGCGATGGCGTAGCGGGGGTCCCAGTTGACGGGGAAGTTGGCACCCGTGTTGTAGCTGATGCCGGGCTGCTCCATCTGGTAGCCGGAAAGACCAGAGTTGGCATAGACGCCCACGGCATCACGCTTCTTGCGGTCATCCTTCTGCGCAGCCAAGTACTTGGTGTCCGCGTTACCGAAGACATCAAAACCGTGGCCGTGGTCGGCCGAGACGACGATCAGGGTGTTGTTGAGCTCACCAATCTTCTCAAGCTTCTCGATCGTCGCCTTCAGAGTATCGTCCAGCTCCATGAGATCACCGAGAGCCCTAGAGTAGTCCAATGCGTGCATCTGCTTATCTATACTGGCGGCTTCGGACATAAGGAAGAAGCCCTTATCTCCGCCGCGCTTGTGGAGGACGTCGATGGCCTTGAGAGTCATTTCCTTGAGGCCGGGAAGGTCAAGGGCGGCCGACTTGTTGCCCGAGGGATCGTTCTTGAGCTTCTTGAGGTTGTCGGGGAAAATGTTGCGGTCCAGCCAGACAGGCAGGTTGCCAGTGCAGAAGATACCAAGGGCCTTCTTGGAGTCATCGGCCTTCAGGAGAGAGGTCTTGTTCAGAGAGACGGTGTATCCCTTCTTGGCAAACGCGTCGTAGTAGTCCTTGCCCTGATAGGAGCCAGAGCCGGGCAGGAACTGCTCAGCACCTCCACCGAAGAAGACGTCGGGGCCGTTCATCTTGGTCCAGGTGTAGTTGGTGACACCGTTCAGCATCTGGTCAATGAGAGGGCCGTACATGCCGCGAGTGCGGGTGTGGGTGGCCAGGGCAATGGGGGTAGCATCGGCCATGAAGGCAGTGGAGACGGCACCCCAGGCGGAGCCCCAGAGACGGGTGATGATCTCAACAATGGTCTCGACCTTGGGGTCGTCGAACGAGTCGGGGGACGAGTCGACGTAAACGCCCATGGCGTTGACAGTGGACTTGTGGCCGCTGTACAGGGCAGAGGCGGAGTTGGCGCTGTCAGTGATGAAGCTGTCGATGGAGTGGGTCATCTGATGGCCGATGACGGGCATCTGGTCCAGAGCAAACTTGGTCTGGTACTTGCCGTTGATGGACTTGTGGGCAAGCAGGCGGGCAGCCGTGATCATGTTGGTGGTCATGCCATCACCGATGAAGAAGATGATGTTCTTGGCCTTCTTGGTCTTGGCGATAGGGCGGACGACCCAGGTGGCCTCGGTGGTCTTGTTGCTGTAGTAGTTCAGCTTGATCTTGTAGGTGCCGGGCTCGTTGAGGGCGATGCGGCGGTAGATCTTGGAGGCGGCGTTGACGATGGTCTTGTTCTTGGCATCGCGGGCGAACAGGTCCTCGTACCAGGAGAAGGTCCACTTCTCCAGCTGGGGCTCGCTGACCTTGAAGTAGTCGGCGATGTTCTTGGGCGAGCCACCGTCTTTGGTGATGGTGCCGGTGAACTTCTCATCCGGGACACCCTTATTGAAGGCCTCCGAGCCGTTCACGGGGGCGTGGACCTCGAAACGGAGATCGAAGTACTGGCCCGGCAAGAAGTCTAGTGCGAGCCCATGTCAGTGATGTTTAGGAGCGATTTGAGCTGATAGTTTCACCACAAGCTCAAGAGGCGCGTGCTCACCTTGCTGATCCGGGGGCAGAATGCAACCCAGGGTCGGGCAGGTACCCAGCCTGTGGAAGGTCTGGGCATTGACAGCAGACAGCGTAGCTGTCAGAGCAGCGAGGACGCTGACCTTGGCAATCATCTTGCTGGTGCCTATCTAGACTCGAGCGAAGCTTCAATCCGTCCGCAGGAACGATCAAGAGAGCAGCGCGGAAATGACTTGTCCCGAGAGAGTCGCCAAGGGACGAGGGCATCATGGGTGGTCAAGAGCTCTTAAATAGTCAATCTCCCGCTCTGCAGCTCCGCTGTCGATCCTCCGTTGTGGATGCAGAGCTGGGCCTGGTCTCGCATGGAGCTGGGGGCGTGTGCAGCTCGTGCTCGAGGTGGGCGCATCATGACGGCCCAGGAAGGCAGGTCAGCTCTTCCAAGGCTCCGGGTCCAATATTCTGCTCTCTGGCTCCGGAACCGCAGAGAAGATGGCAGGACAGGGCCTGCATCGCAGCTGGGATGGGACAGTGCAGGCATTGAGCAGTCCCATTGGCCGGGCGGGCATCGCCATCCTCAGACTGGAGCTATGTCCGGTCCGCCAGGCTGGTCCGCCGGTGAGTCCGCGGATGCAACCACATGAATCACAGTGGTGGCTGCCGACACGTGCATGGGCAACAGCAATATCCTGCGCAGAGGCCCGCGTAAAGGACAGAGGGACTGGCCCGTCAGTCGATCCAGAGCCAGCCTCGGATGGTGTCCATGATGCCTTCGCCAAGAGCCATGGTCTCTGTTCGGGTGGGCAGCCGGGAGCAGCCTAGAGAAGAATCCATGCAGCAATGCGGCATGGGCGAATCAAGACATCTCGGGAAGGTAAAAAGCCTTGTCTTGGATGGGCGGACGGACTGAGTCGTTGGGATGACAAAAAAGCCAAGACGCGATCCTCGAGAGATGCGGTGTGCCAAGACTTTATATCCCATGGCCAAGATGCCCAGCCTGGAGAACGTGCTAACAGTGCTGGCAGTGATTGGATCGTGCCTGAGCTCCAGCTGCAGAGTGGGGGAGATTGCCTTGTTCTGGGGGGTTCGATTGCTACGATATCGCTGGAGGGTCCCCTAGACAAGCTGGCTCCACCCACTAATACGCCATCGTGGATGGCCACAAAAGCTTAGACACATGGATAGCCAACACCTCTCGTCGACCTCCAGATGCGGCGAGGAAACTATCGTCTTTGGAGAGAGAGAAGGAATCACTCCGTTTGCTCCCCAGCCTCTCACTTTCCTTGTCTGAGGATTATTCTCGACTATGGCGTAAAAGGCCCCTCGGGATCTAAGGAACAGACCCCGTGCCGCCTCCCTGTGGTCAATGGTAACTCCTCACACGGCTTACACCTTCGTGTCAGGCACTCTCGTACAATACATTACCAAGGTAGGTAGGTATCGAGGCCTGCAGCTCTCGATACTTGGCTCGCGCTAGTACTCCGTATGTACATTCAGACAGGGATATGCAATGGAAGCTCCGAAGAAGCTTTCTGACGAAAGAGGCTTTCCTGTGTCCATCCCGCAAGCCTGCCCCATAGGTATCCGTCCATATCAGTTCTTAGGTATTCCATGGCCTGCTTCTCACTCGACAAGCCCACGTGGCCAGCATTCCATTGTAGCCGGTATCCGTGTACATGAGGTCCATCAACCAATCCAGGTGAGTCTAGTACAGCGGACAAGCTCATGCTCCCGAGGCATGGAATGGAACCTCATAACTGGCAGGAGGAAGAGCACACGACAGCAGAGTGTCCTGCGATCATCCTCAGGAATGCTACCCTTGTCTTAGTTGCACTGACCCAGAATCAAAGCTTGTTCATGCCTCGGCGTTTCTCTTCTATGCCCCTTGTTCGCTTTAGATAACACCAAGAAGTCACAATGGCAAATAAAACATGTTCAGGGAGTTCAACCTTCCCATACTCGCCCCTATAATTCCACTGTCATCAAGCATTGTACCTCTTTTCGTTATATCACTTTTGTCCGAAGCTCTCTGCACTCCGAGCTGGATGTCGAGGCGTTGAGAGCAATTGACAAATGGACAGCTCACGCGGGATATGCCATTGACACGACCAACTAAGGTCGTTTACAGAGCATAATACCAAATATTGAAATTCTCATCTCATCAACTCGAGTTCAACACTGATCTGAAGCGGTCTATGTTTCAAAGCCTCAGTCACACTCCCTATCTATGCCGAGCCTTGATGAGATCCGCAGCCTACACACACTCAATGTTAGTCTCACCAAGCTCATGGCGTTCAATGTGAAAAGAAAAAGAAAAGGGAAAACAAGGGGGGGTCCCTTTCACGCGTTCGACTCACCTTCTCTGCAACAGCATAGACCGTAGCGCAGATATGCGCGCCGGGAATCAGGGGCTGGATCGACGAATCCGCGACACTGAGACCACCGACGCCGTAGACCCTCAGCTCCGAGTCGACCACCCCGCCGTACTCGCGCGGCATCATGGCGCAGGTGCCCGAGATGTGAGCCGTGGAGCTCCCCGACGACGACCGCACCACGGCCAGCAGGGCCTCGTCGCTGGTGACGTTGGCGCCGGGGACCTGCTCGACGGGGCCGAGCGCCCGCACGCTGGGCGTCTGCTGGAGCCGGCGCGCGAACCGGACGTTCTCCACGGCGATGGCGGCGTCGACGGGGTTGACGAACGTCTGGTAGTCGAGGACCGGGTCCGCGTAGATGTCGGCCGGGTCGAGCAGGACGGTGCCGCGGCTGACCTCCTTGGTGAGGACGAGGGCGCCGCTGCCCGTGCCCTGGATGGGCAGCTCGACCACGGCGTTGTCGGTGCGGGTCATGGAGTCGGAGAGGATGGCGCGCTGCGCCTCGTAACCCCTGACCTGCTCGGCGGTGTAGGTCCCCGGCAGGAAGTCGGCTGCGTTCTGGGCGCGGTAGGCCGCCACGATCTCCTCCCAGCGGTCCGGGCTGACGACCTTGAGGGGCAGGAGACCGGCAGTGTTGCCAGTCGTTTGTGACATTGGGCCTATCTAATCTCAGCACGAGGTTCATAAGGTGCTCAAAGATCAAGGCTCACCAGATCTGTTCTCTTTCCACTCCTTCTGTACCCATTCGGCGAACGTCTTGTTCTGGGCTTGAGTCGTCGTCGGATTCGGTTCGACGTCAGTCGTATCTGTTGACTATGTTAGCCTCGCTAGGCCTTGGAAACGATGACAGTACCATCACTTACACCGGTACGAGAAGCCGCTGACGGCATGGTCTTGCAAGTTGCTGCCGACCCCAGGAAGGTCAACGACCACGTCGATCTTGGCTTTCTCTAAGAGCGCAGCCGGGCCAATACCGCTCCGCTGCAGGACCTGCGGGCTGTGAAGCGCGCCTGCGGTCAAGACGATCTCCTTCTTTGACTTGACCGTAATGACTTGAGCACCCGCTTCTGTACCGCGCTTTTGCATACGGATGCCAGTCGCATGCTTGTTCTCGTCAAAAGTGATGTCGTTCACTCGCCAGCCAGTCAAGATCTGGAGATTCTCGCGGTTTGCGACTGGGTCGTAGTACTGATTCCGGGCATACGACCGAGTGACTGTCGCATTGTCAACGGCGCTCTGTTGATTTGTCAGTTCTTGGCCGGCTACCAAAATAGGGTGTACTGTACGGACTGTATACCAGAAGACACCATAAGCGTGGCCATCTATGGAAGTAGGATGAGCGTCCGTTCCTTGGGAAGACTGCAGTTTAACTCACCAGCTCCATCCAGCTGGGGCTCAGCTCCGGCTTCCACCAGGCCTTGGTACTGGATCTTCACACCTGGCCACTGGAAAGGGGCATAGCTAACGTGGATAGGTCCGTCACTGCCATAAGAACTCTCGTTCCAGGTGATGTTGAATTCCTTCTGCAGCTGCGGTGCTGGAGCATCGAAGCGTGTGCTCTGGGATGTGTTAGTCATGGATAAAGCTTCGGTTATCTAGGTCAGGTGCGTTTCCATCTCACCTTGACAAAGTAGGGAAGGAGGTCATTGAAGCCCCAGCCAGGATTGTTGAGCTTCTCCCAGTTGTCATAATCATCTGCCGCACCACGATTCAACATCATGCCGTTGATGGTCGATCCTCCTCCTACCACGCACGCCGCATAGACGGCTTGTCTGGAGCCACCCAGTCCTTTCTGGGGCACAGAGGTTACGTTGAAGAGATCCTGCCTCGGGTAACTGGTGGCGCTCTGCGGCTGCAGGACCATTGGCCTGTCGTCAAAGTAGCCATACTCGACGATCAACACAGTCGCTTTGAGACATTGGTCAGTCAGTCACACGCACATGCTCATCCAGCAATCCTTCACACTTGGATATAACTTACCATCCGGGTCTTCAGAGAGTCGGTTCGCAACCACCAGGCCAGACTGACCGCCGCCAATGACAATGTAGTCATACGAGTCTTTCAGGTTACGACACCCAATCTGTCTCTTGCTGAATTCAGCTTGGAGTTGCGGGTAGCATGATGCCACCGACGACAGGGACAGGACAGCAGCAACAGTCGCCGCCCAGACTCTGAAGGGGCGAAACATCATCATCAAAGTCCGCTCTGACACGCGACGAAGCCGAGCTGAGGACAACACTCACCATCAGCCCCGGCCCTCGGAGTGCAAGCAGACTTGTTCTTATGTGCAAGGCCCTCTCAGCGCATCTTGTCAGCCCCACGAAGGTGCCATCACCGGTGGGCCTATTGGCATACAGCCGTCTTGGGTGTTGGGTGTTGGGTGTTGGTGTCTGAGCACAAACACACCCTGCGAAGTCGTCAACAACCCCTTTCCCCAGTACAGAATATGGCATAGCCCCGAGCACTTGGGCAATATTTACAGGGATAACCTACATGCGTCAGCGCGCGCACGCAGTAGTCTATTGAGGGACCCTCGCAGTAGCCTACTGGGTGACCTACCTGTTTCTGCGTTCCGGAGGCAGGAACATGCACTTTGGCTTCTGCAAAGGGTAAGGCTGCATGCGGGTGACTACCGCCAAGAGCCTCCCGATGCTACTCTAGAGTCCGGGGAGCCCACGATACCCGGCACACACATGGTCTTTCCGACCCGACAAACGGCCCGTCTTTAGCTCCAAATTGGATGTACGATCAGGCGAATTAAGCTGGTGAGAGAAAATCGTAGAATATAACGCAAAGTAGACGGTCACTGAGAGACCAGTCTTCTGTCGATAACTTGAGACGCAAGGTTGACAACTCTTCGGGCGACCTTCATCCAGGAGGCTCAGACACACAAGAAAAATAAGAAGCCAATCCATTGATCCGTAAGAATCTTAGATTGAAAAGGAGGATTGGAATCTGTTCAGTCTTTTGTTTTATTTTGCCAGCAACGAACAACTCCATAGACAATCTGCAGATGAGTCCACGTCAACAGCCTTGGCAAAGTGCAACGAGAGATCCAGTGAGAAGGCCTTGAGGTTCAGGGTCTTCTTGCGTAAATTCGTATATCTGTAAATCGCCGCCAGGTCATTCGAAAATAGATGGGTTCTTGTAGGCCTAAACGGGCAACAGATCAGTCCCTTGATTACCCCTGCCGGTGATCGATTGACTGTAAACGATCCACCATCCTCGTCAACTCATCCTCGTCCGGCTCCTCCGGTCCTTTGCTCTTTGGAGTCAGGCACGATGAGTGAAACCAGACCTCTCCTGGCATGTGCTCATTCGCGGCATTCGGCAGTATATCCCTCGCTAGATTCGCGACATTTGTACTCCGAACGCCCCCGCCCACGATGATCTGAATATTGCCCTTTGCCATTTGTATAAGGTTTCGCAACATCTCCCGGTTCTCAAGAGCGTTTCCCTTGCCTCCAGAGGTAAGTATCGCATCAAAGCCGCATCTTGCGACAGACTCCAGGGCCTCGGCCTCGGAGGCGGGGCCGGCAGAGTCGAGCACGGCGTCAAAGGCCCGGTGATAGGTACACCCAAATGGGCCCGCCAGGCGCACCAGCTCCTCGCACCTCTGCTCGTCCACAACAACCGCACCACCGTCCTGGCCGGCATGCTTGACGATCCCAAAGACAAAGCCGTCTCCTCTTTCGGGCTTGAGCAGCTCGCTGGCCTTGAATTCCCGGATCGAGTCTCGCATGGCCGCGAACTCGGCGTCCGAGTACACAAAGTCCTGCTGGTTATCTGCGGCCCCGCGCGGGCGGATCATGATTCGGAAGGGCACCGGGAGCGAGGCGGCAGAGGTGGGGAGATCTGCGGGGCGCGGGGTGAGGCCGCCGGCTGGATAGGAGCCCGGCGCGGAGAGCTCTATCCGGGAGGCACCGAGGGAGATTGCATTTTCCGATGCGCTCGACGAGAAGGTGGGGATCTCCAACGGTAAGACAGCGAGGGATGGGGGCATCGCTCTTGAATGGTCAATGAAGTCGAAGGTGTGGTGAGCCGTGGTGCCAGTGTCAGATCTGAGGTGTGTGTTGTCATTGGTGCAACACCGGTACCCCATGGACACATGCCAAGGTAGGTAGTTTGAGAAAAGTTGGAGCTGTTGGCTCTCAGGCTTCTTGGACACACAAGTAATATGAATAGAAAGCAAGTTAGCAAAGAGGAGTCTGTATTGTCACTTTTGACTTTCCTTCTGATCTCAAGCCTTATTTTGTGGGGGAGTGTAACGTTGAACCCAGTGCACCTGAGGTGGGCTTGAATTCTTTGAGTTGTCCTTGCATCAGCATCCTGTGAGTGCCCTCCACCTTGAAACCATAGTGAGTACATGTGCAATTGCCTCCCTCCGGGCAGAAGCAGGATCAGGGCTAGAAAATGACAAAAAGGCAAGCTGAAGTCATTAGGATGGATGAAGACGGTGAGAAAATATTTAAAATGGCTTCAAGTTCTTGAAAATGAAATACATCCAGACCGGAATACACCGCCAAGCCCAGTCAGACTGAGTTAAATCTTCATATTGAGTACTAGCTAACATGACCAAAAGTGAACTCCATCTGATGCTTTGGCCACTATGAATACTCCTCGAGGCGATCATAGTGGTCCAGGCAGCGATAGTTGATCCCGCATCTCCGGTGAAAACAGCAACCCTAGGACACCGACTTTGCAGAACCAGTCGTTCTCCTTCCATTCCCTCCCCTATGTTTGAAAATTTCATTCACACCTCTCTTCCCCTTCACTTTGGGTCGCTGCTGATACTATAGAAAATCAAACAGAAGAAAGCCACCACCCCATATGGCAAGATTGCCGTCGTCTTACTCGGCCAAGGCATCTGGGTCATCCCAGTGGTAGAGGTCCTCCAGGTGGCGGCCGCTGGCATCCGAGTTGGAGCGGGAAGACCGTACCATCTCCCAGGAGGAGTCGCTTGGCGTGGCCGCTCCGGAGGTAGCCGGCGACTGGTAGCCGTTGTCCGCAGCGTAGTTCACCAGGCCCCACGAGGACGTCGTCGAGGACGACATGTGCGACTGGCCCGGCGGTGGATAGTAACTGCTTCTCGGATCCGGCAAGTAATACGCCGGGTTCGGAGCAGACAGCTGCTGGCTCGAGGCGCGGAGGTCCGGTAGCCATCCTTGGTGATAGCTCTGGGTATAACCCGTCGTGTTCCGGTTGTCACTGGCCGAGCTCTGCGGCACTGGTGGCTCCAGAATAGGGGCAGGGCGATACGGGAGAATCATCTGGGAGTCTTCCCGAGTTGTCTGCACATATGCGGAGGCACTCATGCTGGTTGTAGCAGGATAGGAAGGCGCAGCAGCAGTGTTGCTGGATGAACCAGCTTGGCTGGAGCCAGCGCTAGCATAAGGCTGTTGGGACTCCGGCTGTTGGGACTCCGGCTGTTGGGACTCCGGCTGTTGGGACTCCGGCTGTTGGGACTCCGGCTGTTGGGACTCCGGCTGTCTGTATTCCGGCTGCTGGTATTGCGTCTGCTGGTATTGCGTCTGCTGGTATTGTGGCTGCTGGTATTGCGCCTGCTCGTATTGCGGCTGCTGGTTGGCCGCCTGTTGTCGGTCGGGGTAGTAGGGCTGACGTCGTTGAGTCGCAGATCGCTGAGGGTACTGCGGTTGAGTATACCGTGAGTTGCTCAAGGGGGCGAGTTGCTGGGAGGATTTGTCGAACGGGACCGTCTGGCCGGCGGCTTGGTCTGTCTGAGCGGCAACTCTGTCAGAGACAGCCTGGGTATTATTCCTCTGAGGCATCCTCTGTGCGGCAGCCTTGTGTGCCGCACCTCGCTGGGCCTTCTTCTGGTTTCTGCGCTCCTCTTTCTTCGCCTCCGCCTCCATCTCGACCCGGTCCAGGAGACCTAGGACACATAGGTCAATACAAACCAAGCCGGGTCTAGGTGAGAAGAAGTCGGTGTCGTAAAAGGTAGGATGGGATTGGGAGGTCAGTGGTACGAACCAGCCTGAATCCGATACTTGTGTGCCCATTTCGCTGCGTTGGGGGAGTAAGGTTTGCCCTTGCACATGGCATTGTGGAAGTAGTGTTCGACTAACACGTGGTTAGCGGTCGACTCAAAGGGCTAGGTGTGCCAAACTTACACATCATCATGTCCTTGTAGTCCCTCTTGGACTCGCGGCCCATCAGCCTCTGCATCTCATCAGCTAGTTGGCCCCAGGTCTTGGGGTCGAACGTCTTGGCGAGTGTGAGGCCTTTGGCAGATCTAGGTACGATCCGAGTCCAGAACACCTCCTCCTCCTTCACGCTCCAGACCTTTCCGCCCATGTTGACGAAGCGGCACGGGGGAAAGTGTAATTGTGATTGGAGTTTATCAAGCTCTATGGCGATGTTTACACATGAGACCTCGCTCGAAGAGGCGTGGCCGTGAAGTGTGGGTAGAGAGAGAACCAGAAGAAGAAGACTGGATGTCGGACAAGTCGAACCCCTCAAAGATAGGAAGAAGATTTGGAGAAAGACTTGGTAGAGGTGTTGCTGAAGGATCAACCGTTGGCGGAGAAAGATTGATAGACGTGTCGTGGAGGAAGAGACTGCCGAAGAAGGAGAAAGAGGAATTGGGCTGCAGGGACAAATTCACCCTTAAGTACCTAAGAAGAGGGAGAAGGCTGCGACGCAAGGTCACGAGGGGAAGGAATGAATAATGATGAGTGGGTGGGGGAGTCGTTCACTGCAGTATCGTGATGATACGAGTTGGCTGTGGCGACAATCGTCTCAAGTTCTGGTGAGCGGTGTCGAGCACGAGGTTTGTTGAGCGGTAGGAGCTCGTCTAGGCAGAAACATGGCAGGCACAGCATCGTCAGGGCACAGGCATGTTTGGCAGGGGAAAGTGAATTCTCGTTAGATGAGTAGATTGTTACATATCCCTGAGACTCTACCAACAGTATCTGTAGGTTACACATGGAGGACTTGAACAGTATAATGGGCGCTTTCCGTGGCATCTTTGAGATGCTATCTAGCGGGCTGAACCGACTGTCATTTGCTTTAAACAATATCTATGCTGTGGGTAGGAACGTAGCCTAGTGACTCGGTCCGCTTGTCTCTCTTGCGGTATAGGGATGGATACAGAAAAGGGGAACGTAGGCGACCACATAGTGTTACACACCAAAGGACTGCGCCCTTTGCAGACCAAACGGGATTAAAAGTACATCATTACAAGGATTAGTTGCTTCCTTGGTCCAGAGTCGTCTCGAGTGACAAAGACGATGTGTTTAACCTGTCTTCACTCGAAGGGATTCGGTGGTTCTGACGCAGAATAGCCTCGGGACTCAAGATATGCCGCAAGTTTCTGCTCAGTCCTTGCAAACTATCACTGCTGTTAGTAGTGTCGATGCACAGGGCGGTTGTGTAGATCGAGTGACTCACTATGCTCTTCTGTTGCAGCGGCACTACACCGTCCTTAACCCATATGCCCCAGCTACCCATCATGTTGGCCAGCATCATATCCGTGGTAAGGCGATCTCCAACAACGGCTATTTGTGACGGATGAGTTACTCCAGCTTCTGGGTGCGACTTGAAGTATTCCATGATCTCATTGCCACATCCCGGCTTCTTCGACGAGTGAGAGAGCACTGTGACACCTGTTGCTCCCTCCACCTCTTTGGCGAGTTTCCGGCTCGTGTCGTAGCTCAAAGCCCCGGCTGTGTTGGAGACAATGAGCAATTGGCGGCCGGGATATGCGGCTCTGAGGGCGGCAAATCTTTCCTGCAGAGGCGTTAGCTCTGGATCAACCAGAACGAAGCTGGAGCATACCTTGTAAGGCGCGTGTATCTCACTAGTGTCGGGGTAGGCAAAGCAGTCATCTTTGTCTAGGACCACCGCTTTAATACTCGGCTTCTTCCATCGCTTCTCAAAGGCTTTGTCTAGAGGTATAGGTAGGTCATTGAAGGTGGAGACTGTTGCATGAGGCAAGCAGAGCGAGGGCTTGGCCAAGAGCTTGAAGATATTGAGTGAGCCTGAGAGGTTGAGATTCATTCTCAAGGGCAGGCTGTGAAAGCTGGAGTGATGTATAGGTTGCTTGGCATCAATTTGGAACGTATACAGAACCCAAGAAAGGTGAAATTATGAATGAGTTTGCCCAAGAAACATGTGGTAGGATGGAGGTTCGATTGATATTGATTGAGGCTCTCACGATAGATGGATCCTTTGAGCAGTGCCTACATGCAGTGGAACAGAGGTGTCTCGGGGAACATTTACTGTCAACTAAGGGTCGGATCAATCGAATTCTATTCGTTGAGGTGTCTAATTCTAAGGGAGAAAAGGGGAAGGCCGCCAGGGGGGCCGCCGGCCCTTAGAGGTGGCCCTAAAGGGCGGTATAGTTGAGTAGAGACAGCTCTACATACTAAATTTATCCTAGGGTTATTCTTAGTAGATTAGCCCCTTCTAATATATCTTTCTAGATTTTTAGAATCTAGGATTTTAAGAGATCTAAAGTTATTTCTATATCTTAAATAGGTAATTAATAATTTTACTTAATATTAAAGATTAATTAACTACTTTTAATCTTATTAATTATATATTAGATATTAATATAGATATATATTAAATAGAAGGTTTTATAGAGATTATCTCTTCTTATTATTAACTTTTATATCTTTTTTATATATCTTAATATATTCTATATAGTTCTTAATAACTTCTATTCTTTTTAATAATTAATTTAATAATTTAATAATTATAATATCTATCTTTTAAAATAAAAGACTTAGATTTAAATCTTAATTAGATCTTTAAATTAAATTTTAAATATCTTTAAGCTTTAAGATATAATTTTAAATAATTTTAATTAAAATATTTCTTAAGTTTATTAGCTTCTTATTTAAGTTAGTTAAATTAAGAGATTCTATAGATTTAATCTTTATAAAGGATATTAATCTTTTTATTCTTCTCTTAAATAATAATAAAAAGAGATATATAGAAAATAATTATATAATATTTTCTATAAGTAATTCTAATAATTTAATAATAGGATATCTATCTTTCTTAATAGAAGACTTAAATTTAATTTCTAATTAGATTTTTAAACTTCTTAATATCTTTAAATTCTAAGAAGTTCTTTTTATTTAATATAATTAGAGATTATTATTCTTTTTATTAATTTTAATTATCTTTTAAGATAGTAATAAAATAGAGATAAAGATTTAATTATTTAATAAACTTCTAATACTTATTAATTAAAAAGATCTTAATTAACTTATTAACTAGTATTTAATTAATAGTTAAATATTCTATCTTTATTATCTTCTTTTAAATCTTTTATTAAGTTTAATAATAATAGATATTAATATATCTTAAAGTTATCTTAAGCTATAAATTCTTACTTTTAATTAAATAAATAATTTAATAATTATTATAATAAATAATAAACTAATCTAATAATTATAATATTATCTTCTTAAAAAACTATATAATAATAATAGTTTCTTAAAGAAAGCTTATAAGAATAAGTAACTCTACTTTAATAGATAAGATAATAATAATATTTTATTTAATTACTTTTTAATCTATAATATTTTTAAATAATATTATAAGATATTTTTAAAAGAATTTCTAATTCTTTAGATTATCTTTAAATAAAGTATTAATATAGATTTTAAATAAGAAGTTTAGATTATTCTTATTAAATAGAATATCTAGCTTCTTTATTCTTAAGAGATAGTAGATAACTCTATCTATCTTCTTTATTACTTTAAATAAAGGGTTTATAAAGAAGTAGATAAGATTAATAACTACTTTAATAATATCTAGTCTTATAATAATATTAAGATAGATTAAAGATCTTATCTTTTATTAATAGATATAAATCTTTAATAAGATTATTTACTTATCTAGCTTTATAATCTTCTTAATTAATATAGAAGTAATTAGCTCTTTAGTTATATTATTAAGCTTATATCTAATAATAAGATTAGTAATCTTATCTTCTTATAAGATCTAGATCTAACTTTAATTAATATTTTAAATAACTCTTATTTTTAAGAACTACTTAATATTCTCTAAGTCTCTTATTTTAAATTAATAGATTAAGATCTCTTTAAAGACCTCTTCTTTAGCTTTATCCTTCTTATAATAGAGATAGATAATATTATTAATATAGAAGAATATTAGAATAGAGTTATTATAAAAGAGATATAGTTCTTTAATTAATTAAATAAATCTTATTTTAATAAGAATTATTAAGAGAAGCTTTTATTATAATAATAGTAATATCTATAGGTTATATAATACTCTAATTAAATAAGTAATCTTATTAGTCTATTTAAAGTATAATAAAAGTTCTATAAATATCTTCTTATTAAGATAGGTATTAGTAAAAATATTAATTATATCTAACTACTTTATTTTAAGCCTAAATCTTATAGTAATAGCTATAAGAATTTAAAAAGATCTTTTTACTAATATAATAATATAGGTATCTTAATTATTTAATAGCTATTAATCTTCTTAAATATAGATTCTAGCTTTAAATCTCTTAATATACCCTTTATTATTAAACTTATAGATAAATATCTACTTTAATAATATAATTATCTAGCCTTTAACTTTATAATAGTTTACTATCTTTAATATTTTATTATCTTAAATATTCTTAACCTTCTTTTATATAGCCTTAAGTTAATATTAACTATAGAGGCTATTAATAGTCTTCTTAATATTTCTTAGCTTTAATAATAGGTTATTTTAATATAATTAAAGTAGTTATTAAGGCTTTTATTTAATAGAGACTACTTTAGCTTAGAAGTTAGTATAGACTATATTAATACTATAGTAGTCTTTTAGAATTATCTTATTAACTACTTACTATTACTTTCTAAAGAGCTTCTCTTACTCTCTTAACTACTATCTATAGTCTATTAGCTTATAATTTTAAGCTAATTATCTAATTAATATAGAATTTAAGAAATCTTTCTAAAAATTTTCTAGTATCTTTATGTGACGATCCTTGATCCCAAGAGGCAAGACTACTTCGTAGGATCGGAAGCGTGTGGGTTTATGTAAGCAGTAAGTGATGGGCGCTGCTGAGCAATGGTGGTTGACTTGATCGTAGCTAAGAT